ATTCATTACAAATACGTTCGAAGGCCCTCTTATTATAATGATTATTTGCATGATTCCATGCTGGATCCATCGGTAATGGAGCACTAATTTCTTTAAGTATACGTCTAATCTGATAGTACACATGAAATAATATAACAGACTTATATAGTTTAAATCCTGGGGCATTAACAGATACGCCACATCCCGTTGTGGCACACCATACGGCAAAGTTTAACTGATTCTGCCAAAATTGCATAGGATTGTGAAACCAATCGTCAATCATTTTATCGTTAGTTGCCGTGAAACTGTATTTTTCAAAGATATCGTGGAATTTAACGAAAAATTCAGCACCAGAGGCAGTTACTATAATCGATTGATTAGTAATGTGAGTCGATTTCATGTTTAAGTTATGATATAGTATCATTGTATATTTAATATGTATGTTACACTCCCGGGAATAACAAATGGTCAGTCTATTGAACTGCTTCATACTATCGATAACTCGGATGGACAACTCGAAGTAGCTCTATGCGATGTAACGTATTACCCGCGGTGGACCAATATAAATGCTGCAAGAGGTAATAATGAGTTTCATATAACAGATAAACAAAATATTATTGAAAAAAAAATTAATATACCTGATGGGTATTACAGTATATGTTCACTCAATGATAATTTTTTTAAGCCTAATGGAATTAGTATCACACAAAATGAGTCGAATGGGATAGTGAAAATCGGCACTGGAGAAAAAGGTATGTGGATTCATGAGAACTTAGCAATTACACTTGGATTTACACAGGTAGAAAGATCAAGAGACTTTATATTATCAATATTCAGGACAACATCTGATGGAGATGCATTACCCGATTTAGTTCCCTATAAAGAGTTGTTCATCCATCTTGATCAAATAAGCACGACGGATAATATTCAACTAGAAAGTCCTTCAACTCTGCTCAGAAGTGTTCCAGTGAAAAATGAAAAATATAATAGCGTAGAACGGAATCTTTCTCGTCATTACAATATAAAAAATTGAAGCGTGGTATTATTTCAGACCTCAAAATTTCTATATTAGATGTAAAACACCAACCTGTACATATAGGATACTTAAGTGTAACACTCCATATTAAAAATAATGGTTGATGCATCAGGCCCTGGAACAGTAAGAAAATGTAATACAAATGCGCTTTCCGATCTCGGAGACACGGAAGGATTTGATAAACCCGGTACCAATGGTAAGTTATACGCTTTACACTTACACGATAATGTATACAATCGGAAAGAAGTCACATTCACGGGTAATCTAGGAGATTTAAGCGATGTCGATGTTAGTAGACTCCTTAAAAACACTTCATACAATATTACTCGCAACGACGATAAAAAATGGACTATGGTCGAAGCAAACATCGAGTGGCTATTGAATATCGTCATTACCCCACCTTATGTGATGATGGGTAAGGGACATAATTTAACTAAGATAATAAATAGTGGCATCGTACTCGCGGCTTATATCCCGTCAAAACGAAAAAGTGTGTTGGTCACTCCCCTGCCAGGAAACCCAGGTCATATGTTATATAGTCGTCTGGACTTAAAAAATGTTACTTTAAATTTGATTACTGAATTCGAAAAAATTAAACAGAACCTGAGTGCAATACCTAATCTTTCTACGCTTATTATTGAAGTCTTGTTCGGAGATGCACCGGAAAATGCCTTCGATATATTACCAGGTCTATCGATTAAATGGCTCAAGAAACACGAGCGTCAACGTTGCAGTATTATTCATATCGGAGCATCGCCCGTTGCAACCCTCGAGGGGGTCCAAATTATTAAAAGGGACAGCATTTCTCTTTCTAAGATATTCTTGCCGAATAATATACATTTGATAAGGTTGATGTATAGTCTCAAAACATTTAAGCAAGACCAATTAAAGACTATTATATGATCGTAATATACACTATGAGTTTATATCCGGCGCTCGGTGAAGCAATTGAAAAGATGGAAACTGTTGATGGATTTCGATTACATCAAATAAGCGACATAAAACATCGAATAGGGAAGGATAGGGAGTTGAGACTTGGATTGTATAAAAAGTATCGCAGAGCCGTGAATGCTCTGGACGGAGTTGACACCGCTCTTGTAGTATCTGGCATGGGACTCGGTGTAGCGGGTATCGGTTTACTATCAACCATAATCGCCGCGCCTATCGTGCTCGGCATGGAAATAACCGCTGGAGTCTCGGGACTGGCAGGAATAGCAATAAAATTCATTTCTCGTAGGTTACAAAAGAAAGCATTAAAACACGATAGTATTCGGATACTCGCCGAAGCAAAGTTGAACAGCATCGAGGATCATATTTCGACAGCATTGGCCGATTGTAAGATATCCGAGGATGAGTTTCGTTTAGTGCTGTCGGAACTCACCAAATACAACGAAATGAAGCAGGAGATTCGATCAAAATCTCGTAAGACCAGTGGTATTAGCGAAGACGAGAAAAAAAAGTTCATAGAACAGGGGAGGCAACAAGCGCGTCAATTATTCCGTGCCAAAACCAAAGAACTGGTTGGAGATTAAAAATAGATTGCTTACTATCGTTTCATCACATTTAGACAAATGCTTACATAAATATATAATAATGGAGAAAGCTATTAAATGGAAAGAATTACCACAAGGTTTTTATTATATCAGTGATGTCAAACCAACCAAATACGGTTATCAATTGTTTCTTATCAATTTACAAGAAGAGTGTAGTTATATAGTCTGGTCTCCTAGTAAAATGAACGAAGAACTTAATAAAAATGTTGAACATCGCTTTATCGATAAAAATAATAAAGAATATTTTTATTACCATTTAGACTCATCTAAAGCAATGATTGGCCCCAGGTATTGGTGAGCTAGGGCCAATCTCATGACTATCGTTAAATCGCATAATCATTTTGACATTAAAAATCCCCCCTGTAGTAGCAGTATAGGTATATGAATCCTGCTCCAGTGGAAGTGAGCCAGAACCCCCATTACCTATAAAAATTTATATCATTGACTCCAGGTGGAGTCAATTCAACTTAATCTCATGACTATCATTAAATCACATAATCATTTTGGCATAAAAAATTCCCCCTGTAGTAACAGTATAGGTATATGAATCCTGCTCCAGTGGAAGTGGTCCAGAACCCCCATTACCTATAAAAATTTATATCATTGGCTCCAGGTGGTGGTGAGCTGGAGTCAATTTAACTTAATGTTATGACTATCATTAAATCGCATGATCATTTTGGCATAAAAAATTCCATCTGTAGTGATGGTATAGGTATATGAATCCTGCTCTAGTGGAAGTGGTCCAGAACCCCCATTACCTATACTACTAAACTAGACAGATCAGTCAACCACCTTGGTGGGACAGTGAACTTGAAAACTTAAAGAATGAAAGATTCTGTGCCCTGAGAGGACATAGAGACTATTGTTTAGATATTAGTGTGTTCAGGGAGTTGCTCTCTAAACTCAAGAAGACTTTTGCACTTAAAAGACAATCTTATCAAAATCAACAGCAACAAAAACTAATTGAATCAAGAGCTAATCCTTAATTGTTCTGGAAATTGTTAAAGCAAGGGAGACAATCACAATTGCTGGTTGGAATTAGAACTGATGAATGGATGAAGCACTTTTTTCTTCCCTCCTCCACTCAGAAAATAAACCCATCTTACCTCCACCAACAGACACAGATAATTATGTAACTGATGATACCCCGGCACATGAAGATTTAAATCAGCCTATAACAAATCAAGAAGTTGAACAACATATCCAAAAGCTTGCAAATAATAAATCACCAGGACCTGATGGTATTGTCTCTGAATATTTCAAGAATACAAAAAATATAATTTTACCTACATTGACTGCTCTCTTTAATGAAATACTTGACAATGGTGTGTTTCCAAATGCTTGGAATAGAAGTATCATTTGCCCTCTTTTTTAAGTCTGGAGACAAGCATGATGTAAACAACTACAGGGGAATATCCTTGATTGATAACCTTTTTTGATAAATATTTACCTCTATCATAAACTGGAGACTTAAGAATTCTTGTGAGAAAAATAACATAATTGATGAACTACAAGCAGGATTTAGGTCCAATTATTCAACTATTGACAACATTTTTAGTCTGCAGGCAATGACTCAAAAATATGCAGGGAGAAGAAAGGGGAGATTTTACTGCCTCTTTGTTGACTTTTCAAAGGCATTTGACACCATATGACATGATAATCTACTGCAAAGCCTACATGATGTTGGGATGAAGGGTAAACTGTTCAATATAATTTCGTCAATGTATCTAAGTCTGTGTGCTTGTGTAAGGGCTTCAACTGTACTAACTGAATATTTTGAATGTAATCTGTATTTTGAGTCCACAACTATTCATATACTATTCATAAACAAGCTTTTAATTCAACTTGAAGACTGCGGAGGAGAGGGTGTTTTTATATCACAAGATTTTAAAAATGTTTCTGCAATAATGTTTGCAGATGATGTTTCATCTGTATCATATTCAGCAGTTCAACTACAAAAGAAAATTGATGCTCTACACTTATTCTGTTTACAAACTGTTATGAAAGTCATTCTGAAGAAGACAAAAGTAATGGTATTTAGAAATGGTGGTCCCCTAAGAAGTTGTGAAAGTTGTGTCATTTTATGGTGAAAGCATTGATGTTGTTCCATTTTACAGATATTTAGGAATTATGTTCACCCCAAAACTTGTGTGGACCAAGGCTCAAACATGTTTAGCTGCTCAGAGTTCAAAGCTGTGTTTGCCATAAATAGATATCAGAAGAAACTTGCAGATATTCCATGCAAAGATTTATTCAAAATTATTGATAGTATTTTAACTCCTATCCTGTGCTATGGCTCTGAAATCTGGGGTGTTAATTACAGCAAAATCATTGAGGATATTCAAGTTAAGGTGTGCAAATCAGTTCTTTAAGTGTCAAGAAATACATGTAATGTGATGGTGCTTGGTGAGTGTGGTAGAGCTCCTTTACAGCTTACATATGACAAGAGCTGTGACCACCTGGACCACCTGGACCACCTGGGCCCGGAGAGACTACCATATATCAGTGTTACAAGATGCTAGCTGTTCTGGATGATTCAAGTCGCACCACCTGGACCATCTGGGCCCGGAGAGACTACCATATATCAGTGTTACAAGATGCTAGCTGTTCTGGATGATTCAGGTCGCACCACCTTGACCACCTGGGCCCGGAGAGCCTACCATATATCAGTGTTACAAGATGCTAGCTGTTCTGGATGATTCAGGTCGCACCACCTGGACCACCTGGACCACCTGGGCCCGGAGAGACTACCATATATCAGTGTTACAAGATGCCAGCTGTTCTGGATGATTCAGGTCGAACCACCTGGACCACCTGGGCCCGGAGAGACTACCATATATCAGTGTTGCAAGATGCCAGCTGTTCTGGACGATTCAGGTCGCAGCACCTGGACCACCTGGACCACCTGGGCCCGGAGAGACTACCATATATCAGTGTTACAAGATGCTAGCTGTTCTGGATGATTCAGGTCGCACCACCTGGACCACCTGGACCACCTGGGCCCGGAGAGACTACCATATATCAGTGTTACAAGATGCTAGCTGTTCTGGATGATTCAGGTCGCACCACCTGGACCACCTGGACCACCTGGGCCCGGAGAGACTACCATATATCAGTGTTACAAGATGCTAGCTGTTCTGGATGATTCAGGTCGCATCACCTGGACCACCTTGGCCCGGAGAGACTACCATATATCAGTGTTACAAGATGCTAGCTGTTCTGGATGAGTCAGGTCGCATCACCTGGACCACCTGGACCACCTGGACCACCTGGGCCCCGAGACTACCATATATCAGTGTTACAAGATGCTAGCTGTTCTGGATGATTCAGGTCGCATCACCTGGACCACCTTGGCCCGGAGAGACTACCATATATCAGTGTTACAAGATGCTAGCTGTTCTGGATGATTCAGGTCGCATCACCTGGACCACCTGGACCACCTGGGCCCCGAGACTACCATATATCAGTGTTACAAGATGCTAGCTGTTCTGGATGATTCAGGTCGCATCACCTGGACCACCTGGACCACCTGGGCCCGGAGAGACTACCATATATCAGTGTTACAAGATGCCAGCTGTTCTGGATGATTCAGGTCGCACCATCTGGACCACCTGGACCACCTGGGCCCGGAGAGACTACCATATATCAGTGTTACAAGATGCTAGCTGTTCTGGATGATTCAGGTCGCATCACCTGGACCACCTTGGCCCGGAGAGACTACCATATATCAGTGTTACAAGATGCCAGCTGTTCTGGATGATTCAGGTCGAACCACCTGGACCACCTGGGCCCGGAGAGACTACCATATATCAGTGTTACAAGATGCTAGCTGTTCTGGATGATTCAGGTCGCACCACCTGGACCACCTGGACCACCTGGGCCCGGAGAGACTACCATATATCAGTGTTACAAGATGCTAGCTGTTCTGGATGATTCAGGTCGCACCACCTGGACCACCTGGACCACCTGGGCCCGGAGAGACTACCATATATCAGTGTTACAAGATGCCAGCTGTTCTGGATGATTCAGGTCGCACCATCTGGACCACCTGGACCACCTGGGCCCGGAGAGACTACCATATATCAGTGTTACAAGATGCTAGCTGTTCTGGATGATTCAGGTCGCATCACCTGGACCACCTGGGCCCGGAGAGACTACCATATATCAGTGTTACAAGATGCTAGCTGTTCTGGATGATTCAGGTCGCACCACCTTGACCACCTGGGCCCGGAGAGACTACCATATATCAGTGTTACAAGATGCTAGCTGTTCTGGATGATTCAGGTCGCACCACCTGGACCACCTGGACCACCTGGGCCCGGAGAGACTACCATATATCAGTGTTACAAGATGCTAGCTGTTCTGGATGATTCAGGTCGCATCACCTGGACCACCTTGGCCCGGAGAGACTACCATATATCAGTGTTACAAGATGCCAGCTGTTCTGGATGATTCAGGTCGAACCACCTGGACCACCTGGGCCCGGAGAGACTACCATATATCAGTGTTACAAGATGCTAGCTGTTCTGGATGATTCAGGTCGCACCACCTGGACCACCTGGACCACCTGGGCCCGGAGAGACTACCATATATCAGTGTTACAAGATGCTAGCTGTTCTGGATGATTCAGGTCGCACCACCTGGACCACCTGGACCACCTGGGCCCGGAGAGACTACCATATATCAGTGTTACAAGATGCCAGCTGTTCTGGATGATTCAGTCGCACCATCTGGACCACCTGGACCACCTGGGCCCGGAGAGACTACCATATATCAGTGTTACAAGATGCTAGCTGTTCTGGATGATTCAGGTCGCATCACCTGGACCACCTGGGCCCGGAGAGACTACCATATATCAGTGTTACAAGATGCTAGCTGTTCTGGATGATTCAGGTCGCACCACCTTGACCACGTGGGCCCGGAGAGACTACCATATATCAGTGTTACAAGATGCTAGCTGTTCTGGATGATTCAGGTCGCATCACCTGGACCACCTGGGCCCGGAGAGACTACCATATATCAGTGTTACAAGATGCCAGCTGTTCTGGATGATTCAGGTCGCATCACCTGGACCACCTGGGCCCGGAGAGACTACCATATATCAGTGTTACAAGATGCCAGCTGTTCTGGATGATTCAGGTCGCACCACCTGGACCACCTGGACCACCTGGGCCCGGAGAGACTACCATATATCAGTGTTACAAGATGCTAGCTGTTCTGGATGATTCAGGTCGCATCACCTGGACCACCTTGGCCCGGCGAGACTACCATATATCAGTGTTACAAGATGCTAGCTGTTCTGGATGATTCAGGTCGCAACACCTGGACCACCTGGGGCCGGAGAGACTACCATATATCAGTGTTACAAGATGCCAGCTGTTCTGGATGATTCAGGTCGCACCACCTTGACCACCTGGGCCCGGAGAGACTACCATATATCAGTGTTACAAGATGCTAGCTGTTCTGGATGATTCAGGTCGCACCACCTGGACCACCTGGACCACCTGGGCCCGGAGAGACTACCATATATCAGTGTTACAAGATGCTAGCTGTTCTGGATGATTCAGGTCGCATCACCTGGACCACCTTGGCCCGGAGAGACTACCATATATCAGTGTTACAAGATGCCAGCTGTTCTGGATGATTCAGGTCGAACCACCTGGACCACCTGGGCCCGGAGAGACTACCATATATCAGTGTTACAAGATGCTAGCTGTTCTGGATGATTCAGGTCGCACCACCTGGACCACCTGGACCACCTGGGCCCGGAGAGACTACCATATATCAGTGTTACAAGATGCTAGCTGTTCTGGATGATTCAGGTCGCACCACCTGGACCACCTGGACCACCTGGGCCCGGAGAGACTACCATATATCAGTGTTACAAGATGCCAGCTGTTCTGGATGATTCAGTCGCACCATCTGGACCACCTGGACCACCTGGGCCCGGAGAGACTACCATATATCAGTGTTACAAGATGCTAGCTGTTCTGGATGATTCAGGTCGCATCACCTGGACCACCTGGGCCCGGAGAGACTACCATATATCAGTGTTACAAGATGCTAGCTGTTCTGGATGATTCAGGTCGCACCACCTTGACCACGTGGGCCCGGAGAGACTACCATATATCAGTGTTACAAGATGCTAGCTGTTCTGGATGATTCAGGTCGCATCACCTGGACCACCTGGGCCCGGAGAGACTACCATATATCAGTGTTACAAGATGCCAGCTGTTCTGGATGATTCAGGTCGCATCACCTGGACCACCTGGGCCCGGAGAGACTACCATATATCAGTGTTACAAGATGCCAGCTGTTCTGGATGATTCAGGTCGCACCACCTGGACCACCTGGACCACCTGGGCCCGGAGAGACTACCATATATCAGTGTTACAAGATGCTAGCTGTTCTGGATGATTCAGGTCGCATCACCTGGACCACCTTGGCCCGGCGAGACTACCATATATCAGTGTTACAAGATGCTAGCTGTTCTGGATGATTCAGGTCGCAACACCTGGACCACCTGGGCCCGGAGAGACTACCATATATCAGTGTTACAAGATGCCAGCTGTTCTGGATGATTCAGGTCGCACCACCTGGACCACCTGGGCCCGGAGAGACTACCATATATCAGTGTTACAAGATGCCAGCTGTTCTGGATGATTCAGGTCGCACCACCTGGACCACCTGGACCACCTGGGCCCGGAGAGACTACCATATATCAGTGTTACAAGATGCTAGCTGTTCTGGATGATTCAGGTCGCATCACCTGGACCACCTTGGCCCGGAGAGACTACCATATATCAGTGTTACAAGATGCCAGCTGTTCTGGATGATTCAGGTCGCACCACCTGGACCACCTGGGCCCGGAGAGACTACCATATATCAGTGTTACAAGATGCCAGCTGTTCTGGATGATTCAGGTCGCACCACCTGGACCACCTGGACCACCTGGGCCCGGAGAGACTACCATATATCAGTGTTACAAGATGCTAGCTGTTCTGGATGATTCAGGTCGCATCACCTGGACCACCTGGGCCCGGAGAGACTACCATATATCAGTGTTACAAGATGCCAGCTGTTCTGGATGATTCAGGTCGCACCATCTGGACCACCTGGACCACCTGGGCCCGGAGAGACTACCATATATCAGTGTTACAAGATGCTAGCTGTTCTGGATGATTCAGGTCGCACCACCTGGGCCGCACACATTAAAACTATAGCACAAGAAGTTGGGGATAAGATTGTTTTTATTTCCATGTTTAAACAGAGACAGCAAACCTGGAATGTAAATGTGAACAGTTTATCTGACTCATTCCTATAAACATTTTAAATCGCTACTAAGTGTTGAATATTACTTAAATTCACCACTTCCATCTCACTTAAAAAGGATTTTAAGTAACTTTCCAATAGCAGTAAATACTGGAAGATACCATGCCTAACTATATGAAGAAAGACTTATTAATAATTTGTGAATCCTACAGCTCCGGTTATGCACGTTTAGATAAATATATTACATACCGTATTCGACGTATTAAGCG